CGTCCGCTCCTGTTTTTGGCCGTTTTTTCCGGGCTCCCTCCCGTCGCGGGTCACGTCCTTCCGCGCTTTCCCCGTTGCCGCTCCTCCCTCTCTCCCCCGCTCGTTCTCTTCTCCCTTGTTTCTCTGCCCCGCCTGTTGCCCCGCCCGTCGCCCTTTGCGTTCCGTCCTTGTTCTAGCGCCCCTGCTCGCCCCCCCCTCCTGGTTTCGTTCCCCCGTCCCGCCGCGTGCTTCTGGGCCGTCCCGTCCTCTCCTGGCCCTTTTTGGCCCTCGTTCCTCCCTTCTTTCCTCCCTTCCTTGCCCCCCGTCTCGCTTCCTGTCCCTTGGTGTTTGCTCGCTCTCTGGTCGCGTCTGCCCTTTCCTGTTCCTGGCTCCCCGTGGTGTTGTCTGGCGTCGCTTACTCTGCCCTTCGCCCTTTCCCTCCCTTTTTCCCTCCCTTCTTTTTCCCCGTCTCCTCTTCCTGTGCTTCCTGCCGCGCGCCCCCTTTCTCTGTCCTCTCCTCTTTCTCGCCCCCGTCTTCCTTCCCTGTGTCTAGTCCGTTTCGCATCGCTCGCTTCTCGATCGCTGCCTCGTTCGCCCCTGGCTCCTTCCTCTGTCTCCTGCCCTTTCCTGCTTCTTGTGTCCGCTGTTTCGTTCCTCCTCCGCCTCACTTCTCGCCGTCCTGCTCGCTTGTCCCCCCTGTCGCCGTTGGGTCCTGCTCTCCCGCCACTCTTTCTTTGCCTTCGTCTGCCTGTTTTCTGTTGTTCCTCATCCTCCGCGCTGTCGGGGGCGCTACGCGCGGCCCGCGGGCGTTCCCTCTTGAGTCGCCTGATGCTGGCGCCGCTTTGTTTCCCTGTGCCCCCCGTTTCGCTCCCCTCCTTTCTCTCCGTCCTGGTGTCCTTCTTCCGGCCCCTCCCCTCCCGCCTCCGCCTGGTGGGGTCCGCACGCTGGCCTTGCCGGCCGGTCCCGGCCCCCTCTCCGCCGTCCCGCCGGCTCCCGCTTCGGCCGTGCCGTCGTGTCGCTCCCTCCGCCGCGGGCGCGCCCCGCAGCCCTCGCGCCGTCCGCCTGGCCGGCTTCCCCCCGCTTCTTCCGTGCCTGGCCCTGTGGCTGGCCCTTTGGCGCCGCTTTCCGACCCCGTTTCCCGTTTGTCCCTCTTCCGCCCTTGGCCTTGCCCGCGGCCCGTGGCTCCCCGCCGCGTCCGTGGTTTTTGCCTCTCGTGGGTGCATGCGGCCCTGGCCGTCTCTCCTCCCTTCACCGTTTCCTGCTGGTGCCGGCCTGCCGCTGACTCCCCTCCTGGCCCCGTTTGCCGGCCTTCCTGCCTCCCTCACGCGCCCTGTGCCCTTTGCGCGGACGCTTCTTCCCCGTGTCCCGCCGCCCGGGGCGCCCCTCGCTCCGTCTGTGCCCCGCGCTGCCGCCCCGGCCGTCCCCTGTGCCTTCTGGCGGCCTGCCCGCTTCTTTGCTTCCCCGCCGCCTTTGTGGTGTGGGCTTCCCGCCCCGGTCTGCGCGCGGGCTCCCTGCGCCGCGGCACCTCTTGACCTGGCCCCCGCATTCACGCCCCGTGCCGCGCGCTTGCCCCGGTGCGGCCCCCGCCTCCGCCTGCTTCGTGCCGCTGCCGCGCTGGCTGCTGTGCCTCCGCCCCCCGCGTCCCCCCGGCGCGTGCTGCTCGCTGCCCTGCCCACTAGGCCCTTGCCCTCCGCCCGCCCCCCGGGCCCGCCGCGGCCCCCCTTGTGGTCGCCTGCGGCCTGCCCCCCCTGCCTCCCCTGTCACGCCTCTGGGCCCCGCTGCCCTCCCTGTCACCCCCTCCATTCTGCCGGTGCTGCCCGGCTCCCCCCCTGCCCCACGTGCCGTACTCCCTGTTGGCCGCCGCCCCCGCGGCCTCTCCTGTCGCTGCCGTGCCCGCCCCCTCCGCCGGGTGCCCCGGCCTGGCTCCTGCCCCCTCCCGTGCCATGCCCCCTCCTGCCCGTCCGCTGGCTCCTGGCGCTCCGATGCCGTCCTCTCCGGACGACGCGTTCCGCCCCTCCGCCCTCGCCCTCCCTGCTGCCCCGCCGGTGCCACGTGCGTGGCTCCTCCCGGTGCCGACCTCCCGTGTGCCCGGCCCTGCACTGGTTCCACGTGCCCCCGCCCGGCGCCCCCCGCTCCACCTTCCTTTTTGGTGGCCGCCGCCTGTGGCCGCCTCTACTCGGGGTTCCCGTGCCTGTGCGGCGTGCTGCACTCGTGCCCCGCGTGCTCGTTGTGGCCCCTGCTGCGCCCTGGCCTCACTGCGCTGCTGCGGCCTCTGGTGCCCTCTTTCCGGCCTTGGTTGCCTTGTGGCGCCCCTCCGCGTCGATGCCCCGTGTCCCCAGTCTTCCCTCCCTGCGCCCGTCTCCCCTTGCTCTCCCCCGCCCCTGCCCGCGAGTATGGCCCGGCTGGCCCCCCTGGCCGTGCTTGCCCGCGCTCGCTGCGCCACCCCGCGTAGGGTGCGTTCTCCTTGTTCTTGTGGCGACCCCGCCTGGCCCGGGCTCCGCGTTTGCCTGGCTGCCTCAGCGCTCTGCCTCGCGCCCATCAGCGCGCCCCTTCCCCCTCCATCCACGCGCCGCGCTCCTGTCGCCGTTTTGCCCCCGCGCCGTGCCTTTCGCACCGCTCCCGCTTACTCCGGCTTTTGGCCCCTGCCGCTGGCCGAACGACCGTTTCCCCCCTGTGCCCGTTCCGCCGCACACTTATGGCCGGTCCCGCTCCGGCGCCATGCCGTGTTGGCCTTGCTTCCGCCTCATGCGGTGTCCCTTCCCCGCCCTCCCCTGCTACTCTGCCCCCCTGGCCGGCGTCGCCCCGTACCTGGTGCCCTCCTGTGTGGGGTCGCCCCGCTCCCACTGACCGTGCGCCTGCGCCTGTTCTTCGCCGACCCCCGCCCCGCCACTCTGCCGCATGCCCCCGCGCCTGTTCCGCTTGGGGGCGCCGCACTGCCTTCGTGGCGCTCTGCTGCGCCGTGCCGGCCTACGCCGCCGCTCTCCCCCGGTGTCCTGGCCTTGCCACCCTGCCGCGGCCGCCCTGCCCGCCCGCTGGTGCCGCGCTATATTCCTGGCCTGCCTCCTCCCTGGGACACTTCCCTCTCTCTACCGCCCCCTGGCGCCCCTGCGCCAGCTCCATAGCCCCGGCGCCTCGCCTGGGACGTGGCCTCATGCCCCTGCGCCGCCATGGCGTGCCTATGCCACGCATGCTTCCCAACGGCCCCGTTCTGCCGTATTTATTGCTCCCGTTGCGCACTTAACTTCCGCCTCTCCTCAGATGGCTCCCGCGTGGGCGTTGGGCGATGGTTCTGCATGCCGCAGTCTGCTGCGTGGCACGCCGTGTTGCCTCTGCCTCGGCGATCCGCTGCCGCCGCCCCGCCCCAGCGTATGCCCCCTTGCACCCCGGACCTGCTCCGCCTCCCGTCCGCCTGTGCGAGCTTTCCCCCCGTTTGTGTCTGGCCGGCCCTCCGTGTTGACCTGACCCCCCCGCCCTGCTCGCCTTGTTGCACCCACCCCTCCGTGCTGTCCCCTGGCCTCCCCCCCCTGCTGCTCCGGCTGCCCCGTTCCCCCGCTTACCGTGCACATGTACCCCCTGGCACGCTGATGTCCCCCGCTGCCCCCTTCTCCCCGCTGTTGCTCCGCCTGCGCCACGCGACCCCCCGCTGGCTGCTGCTGTCCGCGCCTACATGTGCGCGGTCCACCCGATGCCCTTCACTGTGTGCCGCCGGGCCGCTGGCGCTCTCCGCCGCGGCGCCCAGCCCCGCTGGACCTTTTCCCAGCCCTGGCGCCCACCCCTCCTCGCTTGGCATGGCCAGCTGTCCGCCCCACCTGGCTCCCTGTTATTCCTCGTCTGGCCCTTTGCCGAGCACGCCCTGGTCTGTCGTGGCTGCTGTGGATGTATCACGGGCCGTCCCCTTGTCCTCCCCCGCGCCTGCCGCGGCGCGCTGCTGCCCCCCGCTCCCGCCGGGCATCTGGGCCTGGCCCCATGTCCCCCGGCGCCGCCCGTGCGGTTGGCTGTCCTGGCCCGGCTCCTCCGAGACTGTGCCACCTGCCGTGTCCACACTGTTCCCCTGTCTGCCATCTACGCACGCACTCCTGACGCGCCCTCCGCCGCCCCCGGTGCGCCGGCCCCTCTCCGCCAGTCGGGGGCTGCCCTCTTTTAGTGTACTGGCGCCCGGCCTCTCTTGCGGTCCACGCCTATTACCTCTTTGTCTCGCGGGCCGTCTGTCGCCTGCCCCCCCCCCGCCGCGGCTGTCCTCCCTCTCTGCCCGCTGTCTTTTGCCCGCCCCGGTGGTGCGCCCGGTGCGTGTGTCCTGCGCCCATGGCCCACCCATTCCGTCACCATTGGTTGGCCCGTTTGCCGCCCGCCGTGGGCCATTGGTCGCCCCCCCTCCGCCCGCCCCTCCCCCCCTCTCCTGGCCTCGTGGGCAAAAGTCCGTCCCCCACGTGCCCGCGGACCTGCTGCCGTCACGGCGAGCGCCAGTGGTGCTGCCCTTCTCCCCGCCTGCCTCGTCTCTCCTCCCCCCCTTGCGTGTGGTCTGTCCCCCGACCCGCTTCTTCTGGGCCGCACGGACCTGCGCTCACCTGACCCTTCCGGCTCCCTGCTTCCCCCACGAGGGCCCGCGTGCCGCCGTTTCCGGCGCCCACAGCCCCGCACCGCCGTTCTCTTCTGCTCCGCGGCCCCACCCCCCCCTGCCCTGCCTGCTGGGGAATCCCGGTGCGACTTACCAACCCGCCCCCCCAACACATGGGCACAGAAAGCAACTGTTCTAAGGAAAGATCAACCACGATCATACATCATTCAGACAGAAGATGGAGCTATGCTGAGAAGAAATCGCCGAGATCTTCTTAAGGGACCAGTAGTAGTGGAGCAGAGGTTGGAGGCTGCTGAACAACCCCAACACACACATGAGACACTATCACCTGAAACACCTATGCATACACAAGAACAAACACTGAGAAGATCTGTAAGACAAGTAAAGCCACCTATGAGACTGATTGAACAGATGTAATGTGTTGACATGTTGTTTGGAAGATGATGTCATATCTATGCAAGTTTCACTATGTTTGGTTACTAGTGTTGAATGGACCATAATTGTTGAAAACTAGTTGTGTTGTTAACGTTACTTTGATAAAGCCTGGTTTAACAAGTAAAAAACAAATAGAGACTGTTTATGTTTGTGAAAGTAGGTATGTTATTTTATTGTTGAAAAAAAAGGAAGATGTAATGATAACAGCAAATCCTTATTTGCCTAGTATCATGTTTTATGTTGTTAATACTCCTAGACTGTAGGGGGAGCTAGAGAGCAAGGGGAGTTACCTTGGAGTAGACTGTGATGGCGAAGCTTTGTTTACATGTGAACCACAGTTCGATAAAATACCTTCTCTTCAAGTAATGGTGTCATTCTTAAGAACCCACAACAACATAAAGAAACAAGACAAACCCCAGGTTTCTCTTCAGCACTGTAGCCAGGCTGACAAAAAGTCAGAGCTCTTTTGAGCCAACCATCCCTTTAACGTTAACTAGTAATGACTTCCTTTCTTATTAAAATTATCCATAACCATCTCTCAGATGTAATATTATCTACAGCTACCTTTAGTACCATAGATATTCATTTAGAGCACATGTGGCAAACTCAAGGCCCGCAGGCCACATCTGGCCCGGCGGACATTTATATCTGACCCGCAAGATCTTTTTATATGGATTTATTATTATTGTTATGCATGGCCTGGCGATATGAGACGCAAATAACACACAAACTACAGATCCCAAAATGCAGCACTGCAGCCTCCTTGCCGAACGCTAGGCTAGCTGGGAACATTCCCGCGTCAATCAAGTCAAACTTCTGTTATTGCGAAGCTAGCTCCTCACAATGGCGAAGAGAAAAGTTGATTCTGGAAGCAGAGCCTTTCAGCGCCAGTGGGTGACTGAATATATGTTTACAAACATTGCTGGTAAACCCGTGCGTCTTATTAGTGGAGCTAATGTGGCTGTAATTAAGGAATCTAATTTAAGACGGCACTACGAGACAAAACATCAGGATAAGCTGAAAAACCTAAATGCAGATCAGAAACTACAGAAAGTAGAAGAGCTAAAGAAAAACCTGACATTTCAGCAGACGTTTGTCACCAGAGCAAAATCACAAAGTGAAGCTGTTGTGAAAGCAAGTTTTATTGTAGCAGAGGAGACAGCCAAATCAGCCCGGCTATTTACCGAGGGAGAATTTCTAAAGAGCTGCATGATGAAGCTGTGTGACATCTTGTGTCCAGACAAAACGCAGAGTTTTGGCTGTGTGGTAAAGTCCTGAAAAAGTAGCATGTAATGATCACCGTGACGCAAACCGTAAATTTTATCTAAGGCTAACAGTTTAAATCACCGCCAATTTCAGTATTTTATGTGGGAAATAGATTCAGAGTTTGCCAATATTCCTTATCATACAGAGGTCCGTTGGCTGAGTTGGGGAAAAATTCTCAATAAGGTTTTTGAGCTCAGCAAGGAAACCTGTCAGTTCATGGACATGTATGATGCGGTGAAGGCATTTCAAGTGAAGCTGTCACAAATGCACCAGTGCAACCTGCCTCACTTTCCCTGTTGCCAAGTAATGTTGAACAAAGTC